GCGTCCAGCGGGGGGCGGACGGTGAGAGTCACTTCGGAGGGAGGGTATCGAAGGGGGGGCGGGGCAGGCCCTTGCCGTTGACGGACACGTACCACAGTCTCTCGGCGCCGGGGTGGCGGCGCGGCCCGGAGCCACCGGGCGCCGTGCGGTACAGCCGGGACGCGTAGGTGTTGTAGCCCAGCTCGTGGATCCGCTCCACGAACTCGCACTCAGCGTTGTAGCGCTCCTGCGGGGAGAAACGCCACCGGCGGTGGCCGGGGACAGCAGGCTGGCGTGGATGCCAGGGTGGCAGGGACCGCGCCCCCCTGCTGCCGCCGACCCTGCCCGGCCCGTGCCCTCCGCCCGCGCCCTTCCTCCCCCGGTGCCTGGACGAACGTCTCTTCCTCTGCAAAGGCTTCCCGAGCACCTGCGGAGGAGCCGGACTCTGCCAGCTCTGTCCCCGCTGCCGAGGGCACTGGCTATGTGGCACGTGGGGAGCAGAGACAGGGCTTGCCCACCCGGGTGCCCTAGACGTCGGCCAGCAGCATGGACTCAGCAGAGACTGGGCATTGGGACAAAGGAAGAGATAGATGGCACTCCAGACCTCTTTTGAAGAAATTGCATAAAAGAAAAAGAAGTAAAGGGCCAGCCCGTGGCTCACTTGGGAGAGCGTGGTGCTGACAACGCCAAGTCAAGGTTTAAAATGCCCTAACCGGTCATCTTTAAAAAAAAAAAAAAAGAAAGAAAGAAAGAAAAGAAAAGGAAAAAAAAAAAAAAACAGAAAGCAGATGGGGAGGGGACGAGGCTGGCTTTCTACAAGCCCGAGGTCTCCATTAAAGCTGAGTTTGGGTCCCAGCTCTGGTCCTTGAGCTCTGAGAGTCACTTTCTTGGCCTCCAGAGTCCCTGCCCACAGATTGGAGGTTAAAACATAGACACAGCGGAGCTGAGAGCCTCGCCTGAAGTACATACTCAATAAATGTCACATATTGCCGTGCTTAGACGAGAGCAGATGCTGGGGTTCTCCAACCCAAGTGGGGACCCAGAGGAAATTCATTTTGTCACTGGCAATTAGTGGGGACCTGTGTCAGGGGTAGGATGGGGAAATAACAGGTGGTCCCCGCCTTCTCAAAGGCACAGTCAAACTCTGAACTGAAGGAGCTTATACCAATGTCCCCAAGGCCTGGCATCAAGGCGATGTCCCTCAGCAGTCACCTGTGGGATCTCCCACAGCCTGTGGGATGGGAAAGGGGTGGTATGCCTTATGCAAACCCATTTGAGGCTTCAGTCCCAGCCACAGGCAGGGGGGATGCCAGGGCCACCTCCCAGGGGACCACCAACCCCTGCTGAGTTGAGGTAGGGCAGGGGGCAGGTTGGGGCAGGCAGCAGGATCTCTCCTTCCTTCTGCGGACTGGCCACAGGGCAGGAACAGGAGGGCTAAGTGGTCTGTCTCCATCTGGGACGTGGTGCCCCCATGGGAGTGAGAAAGGTGGGTAGCTACGGCATGGAGGTGACCCAGAGGGCTGCATGCCTGTTTTCCAGGGTCCAGGCTGGCTGGGGCCCAGGCCCATGAAAACTGGGCAGCATCTGACCAGGCGGGACCTCAGGAAAGAGGATGTTTTATGTCAAATCCTTTTTTCCAATGATGCAGAAGCCCAGCACAAGTAAGGATGAAAGGCTCTGGCCGGGTCAGGGGCAGGGGCTGCCTCTCCCCTGACCCCAGCCCTTCTCTGGTCTCTTGCCCGTCCGTGACTGCCTGGAGCTCTGCAGGCCACAGTACAGTTGTCACCACCCAAGGCCAACCTCCATGGTCTATAGATGGGGGAATCTGGGGACCAGAAGGGGTGTCAGGCCCCAAATCACAGAAGGATATGACCCTATTCTGACCTGTGCCTGACCCTTGAATAGCATAGAGTGCAGGAGCTGTCTGGGGAATGAGTGAGTGGACCCAGGGCACACTTACCCCAATCCTCCTCTCTGGGCATGCTGAGTTAGCATCTGGCGCCCACACTACACCCTAAGAAACTCTGGGGCAGGCAGGACCGATGCTTCTCCCAGGTCAGAGGAAGCAGGGGTGGGCTTTCTCTTGGCAGGGAGACTTTAGAGGCAATTGAAGGACACAGGCCTGTTAGCCTCAAAGGGCAAGGGGCACAGGCCCCCCCAAGGGGGAGTTCTAGGGGTGGAGGTGCACAGCACTTGCTTTCCACTTCTGAGGGCACCTGGGGGTGGGAGGGGGAAGATGACCAGGGAGGAAGGTGTTGGCTCAGGGGCCAGGGCCATAACTCCAGGGCTACTGCAGTGGGGACTCACCATGCTTGTAGGACCCCATGGTCCCACCCAGACCCTTCGCTCCAGAAGCCCCCACCCCAGAGCTACTGCCACCCATGAAGGGTGAGGAGGAAGTAGACTCAGAGATACCTTGCCAAGGAGGTGACATTTGGAGGGAGTCCTAAGAAGGAGGTTGACACTTTCTAGTGGGCATTTTCAGAGAAGGGGGCATTCCAGACAGTGACAGTGTGGGTGAAGGGGTGAGCAGCACAGCTTGGCTGGAGAACTGAGAGGTTCTGGAGTGTGGAGGGGGACACGAGTTATGGAACGATGGGGGAGCTGGTAGAAGGAGGCGCCTGGCCGCTCCTCTGTGGACGGAGCTAAGGTGCCTGGGCCATAACTTGTGGGTGATGAGGAATTCCCAGAGGCCATGACATGAGCAGATTTGCTCTTTGGGAAGACCCCTGGACATGTACCTAGCAAAGTGTGACATATGGCAAGTGCCCAGGACACTGATTGACAAGTGAAGGAATCAAGGGATGGATGGATGGATGGAAGGAAGAATAGGTGGATGGATGGATGGATGGAAGGACAGGTGGATGGGTGGATGGATGGAAGGACAGGTGGATGGATGGATGGGTTGATGAATAGAAGGAAGGAAGGGTGAGTGGAAGGAAGGATAGGTGGATGGATGGATGGATGGATGGATTGATGGACGGACGGACAGATGGACTGGAGGACATGGAGGCTGCAGGCCAGTAGCCAGATCCCAAGGCCATTGCAGTGATCCAGGTGGGAGGTAATGAGGGTCTGCACTAGAAGGGTGTCAGCTTTAGGGATAAGGCAGAGGAAGGTGAGGTATGGTGACTGAAGAGAGAATGTCAGGGGGTGTAGTCCGAGGACCTGGAGATGGACTGAATGTGGGGCTGGGAGAGAAGGAGGTGTCTACCATGACTCCCAGCTGGCCTTGTCCTACAGTGAGCGGCTGCTGGAGCGATGGTGAAGCCAGGGAGTCAGGGGGAGCCCCTGCATTCCATTGGGGTGTGCTGCCCTCTGCCTGGGGTCTCCCAGCGATCAGGACTTGTAGGGGAGGGTGAGCTAGGACTCAGATTGGAGATCAGAGCTGGAACGGGGAGTGTCAGGGTGAAACGGTCACTGGCCCACAGAAGCCAACGAGCTGGACTGTGGGAGGTGAGAAGGAGGCTGGGGGCAAAGCCCAGGGAAGCTGGGCAGCCACAAGGCAGGGCGGTGAGCACAGCACTCGTAGGCAAGCTGACAGTGCACAGGATGGGGTCACTGGGTGGCAAGTGACAGGGCAGTGAGGCCTTCTCTGCTGGGCACTCCAGAAAGTTCCACACTGTCCAGCTAGGCTGACTATCCCCAGTGGGGCTGGGAGCCTCTGCCCCTCCTTACCCAAAGCCAGGTCTGTCAGCTCTGAGGGCCAGAAGCCATGGGGGTGGAGGGTTCTGGCCCATTGGGATCCCCAGGGCGTGCTTTGTTTTGTCCCCCAAATCCTGGGCCTGGGTCCCCATGGGAAGAGATGGCAGAGGACTTTGGCTTTCCCTCCTGAGACAGCCCTTGCTGCTCCTCTGCGAAGTTCCCAGTAAAACCCGAACCATCACTGAAGGCCAAGAAGACCTCTTTAGTGGGGTGTCCTCTCTCCCTAACGGTGGGGAGGGACGGTGGGTGGACTATACTCAGTTCACTCACACCAGGGCATGGGACCCAAGGGGTCCAGAAAGCCCCAGTCCACCTCAAGGAAAACTCAGACCCCACCACCAGCCAAGGGCATACTCTTATACACCATGACTGGCGTGTGGAATAACATGCACGACAGGCTGGCACCATGAGGACCCTGCCGCCAGATGCAGCGACTAGCAGGTGGCCCCTGGGCCAGAGGAAAGCAGCAGGCGCGTTCCAGCGTTTGCATTTCCTTTAGCAAAGCAGCCGAAAATCTGTGAGGAAATAACCGGCTTAAAGGAGGGTTTGTCCAGCTTCAAAGGGGGCATGGAAATGTTGGTACGTTTCCCCAGCAAGCGCGGATGAAGAGAGGTGACTGCTGGGAGACAGGCCGCGGGCCGCGTCGTCTAGGTTACGTGTGGACGGAAAACCTCTCATTGGCCAAGGAGGTATCAGCCGAATTGCATGTAATCACTAGTTGGAGGTAGCAAATTTCCTAGTTACATGTATTTTACTGCATGTATTCCCCACCCTCGCCCCTTGGGGGAGGGGCACTGCCAACACCCAGAGCCTCAGGACCCTTTCTGGTTACTTGGAGGCCCAGGCGTAGGCACACTGGCTTCCAAGCCTGGGCTCGTGGGCCCTGTGTGCATGGGATGTGGGTCCCATCTCCCTTGCTCTCAGTTTCCTCCGGAGAAGCGACAGCTCTTGCCTTCCCACCCTGGGAGAACCACTGACCTGACCCTTTCCTTCCTTTCCGCACTCCCAGGAGAGCTCTGGCTGCCCCCAGCAGAAGAGCTTTTGCCCAACGAACCCCCTCGCTTGCCCCCAGGTTGGCTTGAGTCCACTTATTTCAGTGAAAATTTGGGGGGCAATCTCTCCCCCGCTCTCAGCTCCCTTCAGGGAAGGGCGATGGTGATGACAGCAAAGTTTGGGGGAACATCTAACCCGGCAGTGCTGAAGATCGTAGGACATGTCTCACCCCCAGTGGGATCCTCCCCGAGAGCCATGCTCCAAGTCACTCAGGCTAGAGCCACCTCTAACAGAAGCAGCCAAAAGACCACTGGGCGTGGTCACCAGCTAGGGGTCCTGGTCCCAGTGCAAGTCCTGTAGGCCCCTGGGCAAAGCCTTCTACTGCCCTGTCCCCTCTGTCCGCTGACATGATGCTCAAGCGAGCTGGCTACTCCATCAGTGCCTGCCCGCGAGAGGGACTGGACTCACCGAAGCATAGAGCTGTCCCCTGTTGTTCATGGCCAGGTACCGCCCAGAGAAGAGCCCCTTGATGGCCACAATGCCCACCTCCACCGCCGTGATCTCCAGAATACCTGGAAAATTGGGAAGGCTTGTCATTCCCTACTGCTCCCTAGAACCCCAGACGTGACAGCTGAGCACCCACCGGCCCTGCCTGCAGCCCGCCCAGGCTTAGGGTGAAGAGGGCGACATACGCCCAACAGGCATGTGTGTGTCTGTGTCTGTGTCTGTGTCTGTGAGTGAGAGTGTGTGTGTGTGTGTGTGTGTGTGTGTGTGTGTGTGTGTGTGGTGGCGGCAGGGGGGACTGGAAGTGCATGGAAGGGAGTCATCACTGGATAGGTGACAACAGGGGACATCTGGAAGGCTTCTCCAAGGAGATGGAATTCAAACCAGGGAAGGAAATAATAAAATTTACATTTACACCCTCTGGCTCAGTGCCAGACACCACGGTGGCATGAGGTGTGGCTCACGTGAGCCTCACAACAACCTTGCAAGCTATTTTCATCCTCTGACAGACACGCAAGCTGAGTGACTTGCCCAAGACCGCACACAACATGCGTTTGAGGGAGAATTCAAACCCGGGCTGCAGATACTGGAGCCTGAGCTCACAAACTTCGCTGCCTGAACCCAGTGCCGGGGGAGTCCCAGCTGGGGCGGGAGAGCTGGAGATCTGCCCGTCGCAAGACGCAGGCTGCGGGC